GTCGTGGACATATATATTACTGTTAAAGAAGTTTTCATTGCAAAATTAAGATGCAAATTATATTTTCTGAAACGTATGATGTCCCTTTCCTAAACAGGGTTATTAAAAAAAATTATATAATAATAATAAATATAATTACATCCTCAATTACATTGATATGGTATGAATGCTATGTCCACCCTGTCATGTTTATGTCCACTCTATCGAGTCTAAGTGGCTGACAGGGTGGACATTTTGAGCTTCAATTAGCATATTAGCTTACAACAAACTGTGACTAGCTAAATATTTAGTCTGGTTGTTGAAGAGAATTTGGTATATTTAACCTTACATATTTTGAAAATACTGTATTCTAATCACTTCTGGCATATGTTATGCCGACAGGGTGGACATGTTAAGCTTTGGCAAAGCAAGTAAGCAAACTTAGACGAAGAAAATTTGTCAATTGAAAAGTCGCCAACTTATTCACCTAAGCCGTTGAAATTCCCGCCACTGAAGAGACAAAAAATCTGTTGTCCTGATGTCACTAAAGGGGATGGCCTTTTCTTAAAGGGGAGGATACCCCAATAGGACAGGGTGGACAACCATTCAAGGGACATGGACAAACTCTTCTTTTTTATTAAATAAAAATATAGTTTTTATTACCAAATGGTCAATACACTCAAACTGAGTAATCTCTTATTTAACAAAATATTAATAGGATAATTTTTTTTTTAATTTTATGATTTGACAATATTCTACTATCATTCAAATTTAATGAGCAATGCATGGGAAATAGCAAAATAACACGCATCCTCTTATACAAAACTAGAAAAAAAAATCTAGAAAATGGATCTAACGAGCCAAGTAATGCTTTTGTTATTAATATAAAAACTTAGCCTAATATAACACACCCTTTCATAGTCATTTTTATGTTAAGTTATCATGGCAAATTAGTTATTTATGTACAGGACACCAAAAGGCACCCTACAGTGATATTGACCCATAGGTTATACAAATGGTAGTCAATATGGCAAAAAAACAAACAAGCATGGTTTTACTATGAGAACACCATG